TTTTTTTTTTTTTTTTTTTTTTTTTTTTTTCTTTGTTTATTTTCCCTGGTGGTTTTGTCTAAATGAATAGTCAGGGAATAGTTTTATTTTTACTGTGTGTTTAATGATGAATACATATTTTCTTTGTGTGAGAGAAACAGTCTTGTGATTTGAAGGTAATTTATGAAAAGATTTATGGTCCTGTATTTTTTCAGATTTTTTTTTTGAGAAAAATTGATTGTAAAAACACATAACATAAAATTTACCATCTTAAATCGATTGAAGTGTACATTTCAGGGCCAGCCATTGTTGTGGCTTACATATGTAATCCTAGAATTTGGGGATGTCAAGGCAGGAGAATTCCTTGATCCCAAAAGTTTGACACCAGCCTGGGCAACATATGGGGATTCCCTCTCTACAATTTTTTTTTTTAAAGCCAGGTGTGGTTTTGTGCACCTGTGGTCCCAGCTCTTTGAAAGATTGAGGGAGGAGGGTGACTTCAGTCTGAGAGTTTGGGGCTACACTTAGCCATAATTGTGCCAGTGCACTCCACCTTGTGTGACTGAGTGAGACCGTGTCTCAAAAATCTGTACATTTCAGGTATGTTAAGTATATTCACATTGTTATGCAAAAGTGTTCTAAAAATTTTACATCTTGAGAAACTAAAACTCAATATCCATTAAGTAATAGCTGACCATTTTACCCTCTCTCCAATCCTTAACAAATATTCTTCTAATTTCTGTTTTTATAAGTGCAACTACTTAAGATATCTCCTATAAGTGGGATCATATAATATCCATCATTTTGTTACTGGCTTATTTCAGGTGACATAATATTCTCAAAGTTTATCTTAAACTGTGACAAGATTTTTTTTTAAGACTGAATAATACTCCATTGTATTTATATGTTACATGTTTTGATATATTTATAAGTCAAGAAAGGGTTACTTCAGTCTTCTGGCTTTTGTGAATACTGGTATAGTATACATCAGTGTTCAAATATGCCTTCTAGTCCTGTGTTGTGTAGTTTGCATATAGATTTATAAATTGAATTGTTGTATTTAATAGTACCATTTTTTATTATTTGAGTAACATAACATTTTAAAACATTATTGTTTTGCGCCAACAAATAACACGGGTTTTATTTTAATTTCATCAACAAATTTAATGTTTTAAAAAATATTGATGGTGGCCATTGTAATTGGTTTGAGTTATTTTCATTGTAATTTTTATGTGTTTCTCTACAAATGTGATTTTGTGTGTACTTTCAAATGCTTTTCCCATTTTTGTATTTTTTGATGAAAATTTATTTTAATTATTAGTCCATTTAAGACTTGTTTGTATATTCTCAATATTAACTTTTATCACATATAATTTGCAAATATTTTTACTTATTTCCTAGAAGGCACTGTCACTCTAATGTTTTGTTTTTTGTTTTTTTTTAAAGACGGGGTTTCACCATGTTGACCAGGCTGGTCTTGAACTCCTGACCTCAGGTGAACCGCCCGCCTTGGCCTCCCAAAGTGCTGCGATTATAGGCATGAGCCACCACACCCAGCTGCATTTAATGTCATATCAAAAAAGTGGTGCCAAGACCAACATCATGTCATTTCTCTTTTTTTCTAAGAGATGTATTATTTTTATATTTCTAAATATTTTAAAATGTTTTTTTGTATATGATCCAAAGAAAGGATCCAGCTTTATCATTATTAACGTCCAGTTTTCAACATATTTTCAAAACATTGTCTTTTCTTTTTTTTTTTGTTTTTTTTTTGAGATGGAGTTTCACTGTTGTTGCCCAGACTGGAGTGCAATGGCACGATCTTGGCTCACCGCAACCTCCGCCTCCTGGGTTCAAGCAATTCTCCTGCCTCAGCCTCCCGAGTAGCTGGGACTACAGGCACGCACCATCATGCCCAGCTAATTTTTGTATTTTTAGTAGAGATGAGGTTTCACCTTGTTGACCAGGATGGTCTCGATCTCTTGACCTCGTGATCCACCCGCCTCGGCCTCCCAAAGTGTTGGGATTACAGGCTTGAGCCACCGCGCCCGGCCACATTGTCTTTTCTCTATTGTGTGCTTCTGGCAACTTCATAAAAGATTGTTTAATCACATATAGAAAAGTTTATTTCTAGGCTGTATATTCTGGTTTTTTATCTATTTATCTGTCTTTGTGTCAGTACCACCTTGTTTTTGTTTTTTTAGCTATTAATGTATTTTGAAATCCAGATAATACCTCTTTGTTCTTTTTCACGAATGTTTGGCTATAGTTTATAATCAAATTTTAAAATTTTAGGGCTAGGCATGCTGTATTTATAGGTATGAGCCACCACACCCAGCCAACCTTTTGTCTTTAATAAAAATTATCCACTTCCGGCTGGGCATGGTGGCTCACGCCTGTAATCCCAGCACTTTGGGAGGCTGAAGTGGGTGGATCACGTGAGGTCGGGAGTTTGAGACCAGCCTGACCAACATGGAGAAAGCCCATCTCTATAAAAAAGAATAAAGAAAGAAAACAATAAATAAATTATCCACTTTCAGGCATGCCTCTATTTGCAAAATAATTGAAGTTGGCAATTTACTTTTAAAGGTATTATGGGCGAGAAAAAAGAGCTACGTTTTATTTTTTTTCTATGGGTTATTGGGGTCACCCCACGTTGGGCACCACTGTTGGGATCACCACCTCTGGTGGTCTATCCTGCAGACCCTCACTCAGCGATGGATAAGTAAAGTACGCTGACACACAGATGTTATGCTTTCCTAGTTTGGCTAGTGTCTGTAACCGCTTACAGACTCCCTGGAGAGTGCTGTAAAGAGATAGCTGCTGCCAGTGAGACTCAAATTTATTCAGTAAAGTTTAATTGACAAAGGTTGAGTCAACACCACTAGAGGTTAAAGGTTAAAGGACAGGTTCTGTTGCTCAAAGCAAACACCATTAATGGGTAACATCTGTGGTTGACCTCCCCTCAAGAGGGCCATTTAGCTCAAAGGTTAGCTTTAAGAGCATATGAGTAAACAAGTTAGTTAGGTAAACTACCCACATTCTTTTGTATGTGTGCCCTAATCTCTCTGGGTCTTGCAAAGAGACTCTGGCTACCTTCAGCCAAGAACTATAGAAAAAACCCTTAGACCTTCTAAAGAGGTTTGAGACTATTTTCTGTAACTTTCTTTGACATTTTTCTTATACTATTTTTGCCACCACCCTGAGTGAATTCCCACACTGTCACTCTTTGCATTGTGCTCATCTGGGTCATTGCACACATAACTAATTTATACATTTTCCACAAATGTATTTTGGTCAGTATGTTTTTGTTACACTTATATTTCTATTAAGAAATTAGGGACTTTGGGCCAGGTGCGGTGACTCATGTCTGTAATCCCAGCACTTTGGGAAACTGGGGTGAGTGAATCAGGAGGTCAGGAGTTCAAGACCAGCCTGGTCAACATGGTAAAATCCCATCTGTACTAAAAATACAAAAATTATCTGCATGTGGTGGCGCACGCCTGTACTCCTAGCTACTCAAGAGGCTGAGGCAGGAGAATTGCTTGAATCCAGGCAGAGATTGCAGTGAGCTGAGATCACACTATGGCACTGCGGCCCTTCAGTCCAAGCAACAGGGCGCAAGACTCCATGTCAGGAAAAAAAAAAAAAAGAAAAAAGAAAGGAAATTAAGGTCTTTGGCATTTTTCTGTACCATATTGCTTATGTAATTTGTATAATTATATAGATTGGATTTGTAAAGTTTATTCATCTAACAAGTGGAGTAATTTGTTATTTTTATTTCTTTCAGTTATTTGCTCTCATTTTGCCCAAGACTTTTCACCAGAGCAGAACATAAAAGATTCTTTTCAAAAAGTGACACTGAAAAGATATGGAAAATGTGAACATGAGAATTTACAGTTAAGAAAATGTAGTAAGAGTGTGGATGAGTGCAAAGTGCAAAAAGGAAGTTATAATGGACTTAACAAATGTTTGCCAACTACCCAGAGCAAAATATTTCAATGTGATGAATACATGAAAATCTTTCATAAATTTTCAAATCTAAGTGGACATAAGATAAGACATACTGGAAAAAAAACTTTTAAATGTAAAGAATTTGGCAAATCATTTTGCATGTTTTCAAACCTAACTCAACATAAAATAATCCATACGAGAGTAAATTTCTACAAATGTGAAGACTGTGGAAAAGTTTTTAATGGATCCTCAATCTTTACTAAACATAAAAGAATTCATATTGAAGAGAAATCCTACAAATGTGAAAAATGTGGCAAAGTCTTTAACCAGTCCTCAGCCCTTACAACACATAAGAGAATTCATACCAGAGAGAAACTCAACAAATATAAGGAATGTGGCAAAACTTTCAACCAGTCCTCACACCTTACTAGACATAAGATAATTCATACTGGAGAGAAGATCTACAAATGCGGAGAATGTGGCAAAGCCTTTAGGCAGTCCTCCCACCTTACTACACATCAGACAATTCATACTGGAGAGAAACCATACAAATGTGAAGAATGTGGCAAAGCCTTTAGGCAGTCCTCACACCTTACTACACATCAGACAATTCATACAGGAGAGAAGCCCTACAAATGTGAAGAATGTGGAAAAGCTTTTAACCAATCCTCAAAACTTACTGAACATAAAATCATTCATACTGGAGAGCAACCCTACAAATGTGAGGAATGTGGCAAGGCTTTTAACCGATCCTCAAAACTTACTGAACATAAGAAAATTCATACTGGAGAGATACCCTACAAATGTGAAGAATGTGGCAAAGCTTTTAACCGATCCTCAAATCTTACTGAACATAAGAAAATTCATACTGAAGAGAAACTCTTCAAATGTGAAGAGTGTGGCAAAGCTTTTAAACACTCCTCAGCCCTTACCACGCATAAAAAAATTCATACTGGTGAGAAACCCTATAAATGTGAAGAATGTGGAAAAGCTTTTAACCGATCCTCAAAGCTTACTGAACATAAGAAAATTCATACTGGAAGGAAACCCTACAAATGTGAGGAATGTGGCAAAGCTTTTATCCGATCCTCAAAACTTACTGAACATAAGAAAATTCATACTGGAGAGATACCCTACACATGTGAAGAATGTGGCAAAGCTTATAAACACTCTTCATCCCTTACTGCCCATAAGAGAATTCATACTGGAGAGAAACTCTACAAATGTGAAGAATGTGGCAAAGCTTTTAACAAGTCTTCACACCTTACTAGACATAAGAGCATTCATAGTGGAGAGAAACCCTACCAATGTGAAAAATGTGGCAAAGCGTTTAAACAATCCTCAATTCTTACTGAACATAAGAATATTCATACTGAAGAGAAACCATACAAATGTGAAGAATGTGGCAAAGCCTTTAACCGGTCCTCAAACCTTACTACACATAAAAGAATTCATACTGGAGAGAAACCCTACAAATGTGAAGAATGTGGCAAAGCTTTTAAACAATGCTCAAACCTTACTGCACATAAGACCATTCATACTGGAGAGAAACCCTACAAATGTGAAGAATGTGGCAAAGCTTTTACACAATCCTCGAGCCTTAGTGAACATAAGAATATTCATACTGAAAAGAAACCATACAAATGTGAAGAATGTGGCAAAGCCTTTAACTGGTTCTCAAACCTTACTACACATAAAAGAATTCATACGGGAGAGAAACCCTACAAATGTGAAGAATGTGGCAAAGCTTTCAACCAGTCCTCAATCCTTACTACACATAAGAGAATTCATGCCGGAGAGAAATCCTACAAATGTGAAGAATGTGGCAAAGCATTTAACCGGTTTTCAAACCTTACTACACATAAAAGAATTCATACTGGAGAAAAACCTTACAAATGTGAAGAATGTGGCAAAGCTTTTAGCCAGTCCTCAATCCTTACTACACATAAGAGAATTCATACCAGAGAGAAATCCTACTGAAATGAACTAACCTGACTCCATCTTAGAAATAAGCCTGACAAGCTCCAGCTTAGTTTCTCCCTCCCTGCCACAGGTGCATTACTGAGTCATGATGTACTCAGAGCCTTGAACTGTTGAGGTTTGGGTCATGCTGTTCTCAGTACCTGTAACCAATGTAACCACATCCTGCTTGGCAAGTCTACCTGCTACTGTGAATACCCCTCTTGGTGACTGATTGTATAGAAAGTCCCCCTGGTAACCCCCTTGATGATTATATGGAAATGCTCTTAGTAACCAGCAACTATGGGAACCTCCTGCCTCCTGGTTACCAGCCTCTTCCTACTAACTTGCTTGTTCTGCTTCTGTAAAATTATGCTTCAGCTAGGCTCCCCCTCCCCTATCCTAAGCTAGGTATGCAAAGAAATCAAGCCCCTTCCTCAGGGTGGAGAGATTTTTAAGCGTTAGCTGCCTCTCAGTTGCCAGCAATAAAGGACTCTCAATCAGAACTCAGAGAGTAGCGCTTTCTCTAACTCACTGGGTTACAACACTTGGCAAGATATGGCCACCGGGCGTGGACTGGACTCGCTCCGAGGTCCCCAGATGCACTTCACTCCGAGGTGAAGTATAGGGGAGGCACCCCCTGAGACGTTCCAGAGCCCCATAGGTCACCATCCTCCAGAGATCAGATCGCCTACTGACTCACCCCTCTAACTTCTTTTCTGAGTCCTCTGTCCTCGTTCACAGAAAAGGTAAGTCAAGCCTGACTCTGTGTTTGGACCAGGGAGGGTCATTGGCCCTGACGAGGGCCACCTTTCAGGATTCTGTCAACACTCCAGGATGCTGGAGGACAGAGTTCGCAGTTCTGTGAGAAATTTCTGAGGGAAGGGAAATTTCTCCAGGATCCTCACTGATTTTTTGAGAAATTTCTGAGGAAAAGGAAATTTCTCTGGGATCTTGACTGGTTTACAAAAAAGCACAAAACTCATAACTTCTGAGTGTGTGTGCATGTGTGAGTGCGTGGGGACCTTAGAGGCTTGCGTCTAAGAATCCAGTTTATGGCTCCATGACAAAAGCTACGGAGTCCAAGTGGACCCTAACCTGTGGTTCCATGGTGTCCTCATACGGCTTAAAGACAGCATCGGGCTAGGCCCGATCCAAATCAGGGGTTTTAAAGACGGGGTTTCACCATGTTGGTCAGGCTGGTCTTGAACTCCCGACCGCATGTGATCCACCCGCCTCGGCCTCCCAGAGTGCTGGAATTACAGGCGTGAGCCACCACGCCCGGCCTATACCGACCTGTTTATGCCAAGAGGTGCCCAAGTTCCTGCAAAGGGTGCAACCAGGTAGGCATCTGAGTAATCCCAATACAGGACCCCCTCTCCCTTGTTTGTCCTTGATAAATTGCCATAATAATTTATCTACCTCATCTTATCTACCTCACTATCAGTTTTCCTGTTTTGTTCCTAACATATGGATTTGTATGTCTCATGTCTGTTGTCCTGTTTGTCTCTAGCGTTTGAATTTGTATGTCCCATCATCCTTATTGCCCGAGACGATTGGGTGACAACTTTTTCAAGGTCCTTAGTGCAGACCTCATTAGCCGTTTGGGCTGGCCATCTTAGTCCTGTCTTTTCTGTCAAAAACAGGTGGGATCAGGTGGGAAAATTGTGCTAAACATCCAACAGTCTGGAATTTCTGGCACATAGAGGTTGTTGGTGCCTAGATTGTCACACCCCCATGCCCCAATGACTGGTCTGACCCCTCCTTGGCTGAGCCTGACTTCTCCTTTGCTCCAACCCTCAGCTCCCTCTCTTCCTCCTGTTCTGTCCCCTTCGGAGGAGGAGGAAAATTCTATTATTCCCTTGCCTCTACCCTATAATCTTCCTGCTCTCCTGGGCTCCCTTCTGTCTTCTCGACTCCTGTGTTCTCCACCTATTTATTGCCTCCCAACTGCAGCCTCGGCCAGAGGAGGCTGCCCCACTCCTACCCTTAAGGGAGGCAGCATCCCCACCAGGTAGTGAGTGAGCTGTCCCATTTTTGGACTATGTTCGTTTTTCTACTTCTGACCTGTACAACTGGAAGGCTCAAAAACCCACCTTTCTCTGAGAATCCTCAGGTACTAACCTCACTGGTTGAGTCCATACTCTGGACTAACCAGCCCAACTGGGATGATTGGCAACAGCTTCTCCTGACCCTTCTTACATCTGAGAAAAGGGACTGTATTCGAAGGGAGGCCGGAAAGATTTTCCTTAGTTCAGCCAGTATGCCAGAGGAGGGACCCCAAGACCTCCTAGAGGAAGGTTTTCCTTCTACTTGGCCTGACTGGGACCCAGATACCTCGGATGGGAGTAGAGCTTTGGACGATTTCCACCAGCATCTCCTTGCGGGTAGTGAAGGAGCCACTCAGAAACCCATGAATCTGTCTAAGACAACTGAAGTTGTCCAGGGGCCCAATGAGTCATCTGGAGTGTTTTCGAAATGCCTCCAGGAGGCCTATCAAATTTACACTCCATTTGATCAAGTGGCTCCCGAAAATAGCCATGCTATTAATTTGGCATTTGTGGCCCAGGCAGCTCCTGATATTCGGAGAAAGTTAGAAAAACTTGAGGGATTCATTGGAATGAACATTTCCCAACTCCTGGAAATAGCTCAAAAGGTTTATTGACAATTGAGACCAAGAAAAAACAAAAACCGGCTACTCTGGCAACTGAAAAGGCAGCTGTCAGAGTATCAAAAAGGCAGGCAAAAATCATAGTTGCCGCAATCCAGGAAGCTAAACAAGACAATCCTAAACAGAAAAGTTATACTGGGGGAAAACCTGACTCAAAGTCTCAATACTCCTGTGGGAGGGGAAAGAGAACACCCCTACAAAAAAAAAAAATCAATGTGCATATTGTAAATAACTCAGATATTGGAAAAAATGAATGCCCAGAAAAGCCAGAGAGGAAGGTTCTCACCCTTCCAGAAGCAAGAGATCTTGAAGCAGATTGATGGGGCTGGGTCTCCCCTTTCTCTTGGCCCCCAGGAGCCCATGGTTACTGCTACTGTTGGGGGTCAGTCTATCCATTTCCAGGAGACTGGAGCTTCTGGATGGCCTAGTTGTTTGTGGGCTGTAGCAGCCACTGCCTGTCTAGTCCAAGATACTGATTAACTCTGGGTCAGGACCTGACCCTTACGGTCCCCCATGCTGTAGAGTCCCTGCTGCGAGAAGCTCCCGGAAAAGGAATGTCAAAACACTCGTATATTGCAGTGCCAGAGTTTACTGTTGGATCAGCCTCACCTGACTCTCCCCCACAAGGTGCTTAAACCCAGCCATTCTACTCCCTGCTCCAACCTGTCTGTACCTGTCCATTACTGCCAAGAGCTGTTAGAAACTACAAAAACCAGCTGACCTGATCTCTAGGATATGCCTTTGGAAAAGGCAGATGCCACCATATTTACAGATGGCTGCAGCTTCATTGAACAAGGAGTGCGAAAAGCCAGTGCAGCCATCACCACAGAAACAGACACACTGTGGGCCCAGGCTCTGCCAGCCGGAACTTCTGCACAAAAGGCTGAATTAGTTGCCTCACTCAGGCCTTCCGTTGGGGTAAGAACAAACACATCAACATCTACACCAACAGCTGATATGCCTTTGCTACTGTACCTGTTCAGAGAGCCATCAGGAGCATGGGCTACTCACCTCAGCTGGAAAGACTATCTTTTTATTTTTTTATTTTTATTTTTTTTAGACGGAGTTTCGCTCTTGTTACCCAGGCTGGAGTGCAATGGCGCGATCTCGGCTCACCGCAACCTCCGTCTCCTGGGTTCAAGCAATTCTCTTGCCTCAGCCTCCCAAGTAGCTGGGACTACAGGCGTGCACCACCATGCCCAGCTAATTTTTGTATTTTTAGTAGAGACGGGGTTTCACCTTGTTGACCAGGATGGTCTCGATCTCTTGACCTCGTGATCCACCCATCTCAGCCTCCCAAAGTGCTGGGATTATAGGCGTGAGCCACCGCGCCCGCCGTGGAAAGGCTATCAAAAACAAAAGAAATTCTAGCCCTGCTTGAGTCCATTTGGCTCCCGCAACAGGTGGCTGTAATTCAGTGGACACCAGAAACAAAACACAACTGTCGCCTGGGGGAACTAAAAGGCAGATTCTGCAGCCTGCAAAGCAGCTACACTCCCAGTTATCCGATTAACTTTACTGCCAGCCATCTCCTTCCTACCTTCCAGCCTGCCGGATTGCTCTGTCTACTCCCCAGAGGAAGAGCAAGCTACAAACCCCCAGGCCAACAAAGATCAAGATGATTGGTGGATTCTCCCAGAGTCCTGAATTTTTCTGCCCCGCACCCCAGGAGAAGCCTTGGTTGGTCGTCTCCATTCTTCCACCCACTTAGAAGGAATAAAATTAGCCCAGCTTTTGAAAAGCCATTTCAAAATTCCTCACCTTCAGGACTTAACTAACCAAGCGGCCTCCTGATGAACAGCGTGTACATAGGTAAGCGCCAAGCAAGGTCCAAGGCCTGAACTGAGCCACGGTCTCCTAGGATGCAGCCCAGGAGAAAAATGGAAAATAAACTTGGGTGGGATATCAGTATCTCCTGGATACTTTTTCTGGATAGACTCAGGCATTTGCCACACCTAAAAGATGTAACAGTGATTTTTGACAACACCTCAAAGTTTTCTAGACATAAAAGAAATTCTGCTGGTGAGAAATCTTAGAAATGTGAATAATGTAACAAAGCCTTTAAAGGTTGTCAGGATTGTACATAAGATAATTCATACAAAAAAAAGCAACCTACAGGTGTGAAGAATGTGGCAAAATTTTTAACCAATGCTCACACCTTATTGCACAGGAAATCAATTGTACTTGAAACAAAAAATTCAAATATACGGAA